TTTAACTAAAGGAATAGAATAAATATTTTCAAAGCTTAGCAACTGAATTTATGCTGGGTGGATCATAGTATATTTAAAAGATTATTCTCTGGAAAGGTTATTTGAAGCGCGAATAATTTTTCATTACGTTGAAAATAAGAAGCGAGGGAGAAATAAAAAAAAGGATCCCTTACTCATAAAGAAAATTTTTTTCTCATATATGAAGCATAATCCATTTTTCACTTGTGTATGTTTTACACATAAAAACCATATTCAACCATTGTTTTAATGGTTATTAAGCCTCCAAACGATGCTAGCGTAGAGTGCGACATTTAACACATAAATGAAATCACTTTTTTTTTCGGGATAGAAAGAGGAAAAATTTATTTAATGGCATCATCACGTCATATATAAATCTAATAAACAATAGCATGTATGCATTATACTCGTACATGGCACACACACTCTAAATGAATTGTTGTGAAACATTCTTCAAAGCAGACGAAGCAAAAGCTTTTATAGCCACAAAAAAAAACTTTTGAATAATCATGACGCAAAAAAAAATTAACGAGAAACAGAGAGCTGGAAAAGTTGTAGACTGTCACTTTAATTTATTGCAATGAGAAATGTAAACGCAGTGATAACAGCAGCCACAAAAATTCGTATTAAATATACATGCTCGAGCAGATAGACATAAAATTACATCACATCCTCTACTTATCATTTTTATTGTCAATTTTCGCTAATGCTGATAGACACAAAAAATGTGAAATTCATGAGGAATGATGAAACATTAAAGGCATGAAGTAATATCTGTAAATTAGATTTCACCTTCTTTTCCTTTTATGTTTGTTGCTGTTGTTTTTGTTGTTGTTTATTTTTAGCACCTTCATATTCCATGCCTTTGCTTTTACTTCTTCCTAAAGATGAAAAAAAATTAAATGAATTTCATTTTCCTTTCCTTCCTTTTTCCTTAAATTTACGAAGAATATTTTTTTTTTGCTTACACACGGTTATTATTGCGTAAAGAAACTTCCTCTTCGTAAGCATCAAGGAGGTTGGGAACTCATTTAACATTTCAGCCACGTATTGTGTAACACTCAGTGAAATATGAGTAAGTCGTCCCGAGATAATTCTGATAACAAATATCTTTACGAAATTAAATGAGATAGATAAGAGAAGAGATAGTCTTTAACATGTACATATGGATGGAATAGGCATAACAATTTAATTGCAATAGAAATTCCTTTTATGTTGTATCGAAATGCTTCAACAACATACACTTAATTTTCTCCTAGAGAGCTATTAAAAAATTTTATTTTTATGGAGCATAAGTAGAAGAAATTTTATTCTCCTAATTTTACGTGACTCAAGTATGTCAGCATGCTGCATTTGACCTCATTTTCACTTTCACTTTTCCTTACTATTTTATTTGTTAAAAATAAGATCATTGAAAGTTGAAAAGGAAAATTTATTAGGAAATTTTCTCGAAATGATTGCCATTCAGCTCCTTTGGGGCCGTTCACTTATTACGTTACCCCCCCCCCCCCCCCCTTGCCAACGTTCATAATTTATTTTATTTTGATATTTTTTTATAGGTATTAATTATGATTGTATTTTAAAGTCTTGTAAACCAGTTTTCTATTGATTTGTTACTTAATATAACAAAAAATACGTATTGCTTAGCTATCAAAAGTGATCTGGACATTCATAAATCATTAAAAAGGTGGAAAATTTAAAAAAATGTTTTTGGTGTGAATTTGTAAACAAATTTTTTTCGTGAACTTTTTTTTAAAAGACAGACGACAGTTAGAACGTTACATACTTCTTGATACCCCCCCCCCCCCTTATGTTACATTTTGTTACAATTTTTCAAACCCCCCTCCCCCCTAAAATGCGAACGTAATAAGTGAACGGCCCCTTTACAGCATTCCCATTTTTGATTAACTTTCCATGTTTAATAATTGCCATTTAATCAACTTCTTTCCCCTTAAAAACTTGTCAGAATAATTTTGGGGTTGCGAAAATTATTTTTCTCGTACTTAGTAGTAATTATGTTTGAATCTAGGGTTCATACCTTTTTCATTCATTAACTTCTCCTTCTTTTATTTCTAGATCTAAACTTTTAAAAACACTTATGATATGAACGAGTGCTATAATTTGATTTTAATACACTTGTTAGCCTTCTGGAATGAAAAAGTAATTTAAGAACTCATTTAATCCTATTAAAAAGTAAAAACCGTGGCACCGCGAAGTACTCTATTGAGATATATATTTTCTGCATCACCAGAATGTGGTTTTGTTTATTCCATTTGGGGGAGAATGAGATACGATAACAATACATGAAAAAAGTAAAAAATAGGAAACAGGAGGGATTTTTCTCTGTATTGTAAAAAAAATCGTTTTATGTCTGTAAATATTTCCTATTATCCTTTCAATTTGTTGCTAAATCGAGAATCCTTTGAACGAGAATATAATGGAAATTCCATCATATTCAAAAAATGGAAATTTTTAAAAAATACGTCAGAAACAATTATGCTGAATTGAGCTACTGTTATTCCAATTGCTTTGAGACGCAAGTACAAAAAAATTTAATCCTATTTGTGTTTTTCTCTCATTTTCCTATTTTAAATGCTAAGCTTTGAGCGTCAAAATTTTGGGACACATTTCAAAATTTTTCGTAAGAATTATAGACTTTTAATTCACAAATGACGTCTATTTTTTGATAAGTAGTGTGATCAAATTCTAGGATTCTCAGTGTCCTGCTTTTACAGGGCCTTAGTGACAATAACAAAAAGTGTGTCAATCTGGGTACATCATTTGCACACTCCCCCATAATTAAAATTATTTTATAAACTCCTCGCAGATGTTGCTTTTAGACTTACAATATCCGCATATAAATTATTTTAAAGAGTTGACGCTGTCTACCTTTATTTATCACACTATCAAGCACAAAATTTAAATCCCAAAAAAAAAATCATTTCCAATTTTAATTTCATTTCCTTTATAAAAGCAAAACAGAACAATACAAACAAATTTCGACTTTCAAAAATGAAAAAGCTGGGAAACATACGGCAGCACATTTTTCAATTTTGTTTTTGCCATGTCGTCAATTTTGTATTTTCACTCTACATTCAAAGTTAAAAGCAGCACACAAAAAAAAGAAATGTTTATTTCTGGATAAAAAAAAACTGGGTTCCAGAGAAACCAATTTATTTTAACTGCATCCACCATTCGGTGATGACAACAAAAATATTGACAACATACACATAAAGTTTATTTTACTTTAATTTTATTTAAACTTTCTTTCCGATTCTTTTACATGCTACAATTTGCAGTAAGCAGTATATGTAAATGTTTATGGGTAGGCATGGTGAAATAAATTGAAAAATTACATGTCATGATGCCAAAAGAGTGCCTTAAACGTAATAATTTTTCTGCTGTTGTTGCTATCATTCCAACTTCCAATACATAAAGAAATAAATGAAAAATTGCGTATTATTGGATGTAATGTAGTTCACTCTACTCCCTAAAGCCATATAATATAATAAAGTAAACGCACACGTAAAAATATAATTTGTCTTCCATATTCATTCAATAAGGGATGAAAAAAAAATTCAAAGTGTATGTGCTGGGGACATAACCAGCCTCCTACATTTGAATGAGATGAGCAAAAAAAAAATTGTGTATGACGAGATATATTTTAACCAAACTTTATTACCATCATTGAAATAACATTTTCATGCCAGGTAATCCGCTTTTAGTAGATTAACTGTGTAGTTGTACATAGGACATGATCATTTTATTCATGTATCAACAGCTTCTTTAATGGCTCCCTATTTTTATTTACATTTAATGTATTTTGTAATGAATTGTTAATTAATTTTAATTCTAAATGAATCAGGAAATGTTTTCAATTAGTGCCTAGTAAAATTGATGTTGGACTGATGGAACTGATTAATTTTGAAATTTCGAATCAATCTAGAATTTAAGTGATTTTTATAATGTTTTAAAAATTGAATGAACCCGATTAGCATGGATTCAATTTGTGTTCAAAGTGTCGGCACCAATCCGAGATTTGTATTCGATTAACTGACTTACGCTGTTTGGGTTATAAACATGCATCGCTTGCTTTACAGATCAATTATGATCCATAGCCTCCCTTAGTTGGCGTCTGAAAAAGATTCTGTCGCTGGCTACCTGGGAATCGCCAATATCAAATGCTGTTTGGGATAGTTAAGAATAATCAGGAGATTTCGGACAATAGCAATGAATTGTAATTAAAAAATCCTCGATTAGCACGAATTTGAATGCTAGCTCTTAAACATTGGGTTTGTGGTAAAATTAAAACTCTAAAATAGTTTCTAGTCCAACAGATCATCGAACGCAGTGCCGTTTTTGCTCTAAGCAAAACCCAAAATTACATTCTATTCTATTCTAGTCCAACATTTTGTTGCTCACATTCAAGTTTAATTATGTTTTAATCTGACAACTTCAAATCCATATCCCTTAACAATTTAACAGCCAGACAGTCCCATTCCTGTAAAACAAAGGATTTAATTTACTTATCAAATATCAATCTTCTGGGTATAGCAAATCATTCATGTAACAACTATAAATTTAAAAACCATGATGATGTGAGGAATGAAAAATGTTCGAGCAATAAAAATATGTGAAATAAATATCAATTGAGCAGAAACAATAATTCTGTGTTACTGCACATTTAGTAATATGCCGTAATAAAAAAAAGGGAAAAGTGAAAAATATCCTGTGAATAAGTGAAAAATCGATTTATTACCTGTTTCATATATATTTTTTTAAAATTACTATATATAGCACTTTAAATTACATTTTTTTTATAAAAGAAGTCATAAATATAACAATATCGGATATTTATATGTCGACAATTTATCATGAACAGAAAATGCTGTAAAGAAATAAGAGGATTTATTGAATTGTGAAATGTCAAATTTTTCATACAAGAACTTTTTGTAAAACGGAAGAAATTAATCAATTATTAGATGTTATCGAAAAAGGAAAATCGTTCACGTGAAAATAAAGTGACAAGTTGCAATAAAAATTTAGTGGAATCACAAAGTAATCAACAATCATCCTTTCCCCCTAATCCCTATAACAATGAAAATGTTATTAATAAGCAAGAAAAGTCATCAACATCGTCTTCATCATCATCATCATCAACAACAACGACAGAAAAACATGATACACAACAGGAAATTACAGGAGGAAATTGTTCCATTGTCGATAAAGGGGAAGGTACTGATGAAAAAATCAATACGACACCAAAGAAACGTTTCTTTGACTTGAAACGTACAGCTGAGTCAGCAACGAGTAAAATTTCATCAATTAGTCCATCGAGATTTTCATTGAATAATCTAACGCCAAAGTTACGAAGGAAAAGTGCCACGAACCATAAATTATCGCAATTAGAGCGGCAAAGTAATTTATTTATTCGAGATGGGTCCGAAAATAAGACAAACAATCCGGAGAATTTAATGAGCGTTGCCATAGAAAATGGAACAATTGATGATAATGCGAAACATCAACAAACAACGGCTGAAGGCAAAATTGAGAATTGTAATAATATTAAAAGTAAAAAGTCCTCGTTGATTCCGTCCTTTAATTTTAAAATTTCATCCACGAATGCAAAGCAAGGAAATTTAAAAAATTTATGCAAAAACTTTTCTCGTAATGAACCTGAATTTCCAAATTATGAGGAAATCGATATATTCCACTTTAATGAAGTTGAAAATAATGTAAATGAAAATTTGCCGCAGGAAATGCAGGATAAACAAAATCTAAGAAAGTTTTCACCATCGAGACAAAGAGAAATTCTAGACACTGCGGAAACTGATTTAATTGAAGCTCTAATTGCGGACAGTGAGCAGCATGACGCTATGTCAAATACAGAATTAATACCAAACGTACAAGAAATGCTAAAGAATATTCCTGTACGACAACGTAAAGGAAACATATCACATATGGAAAATTATTGTCTTTTCGATCCAGCTGTAGATTTCTATGATGATAAAGAATTACGAAGAAACAACTTTGCAACACAATCAATTGCAGATTTTCATTTTCCCATTGGAACGTTTCAAAATATTTTACAGCAACAAAAAGTACAGAAACCAACTCTTCAAATTAAAGAAGAATATTCCACTGTATATGATACAACGGAACATGATGAAAGACTTTTATACCACAATTATTATGAAATTGATCCAGATTTATTGGAACAAGATGAAGCTGCAATGCCAGCAATTGCAATTGAACCTAATCGGATTGATGAAAATCCCAAATCGGTATTTATTGGCGAGCAAACGTCAAGACAGTCATCAAGTTCATCATCAAGCTGTGATTATCCATCAATCTTCAATTCTGTCATAGAAACGACTCCATCGTCCACAATTGAATCAACGGACGAGAATGAAACAATAAATAATGACATTCCACAAAGTGGAATCATTCAAACGAATGAAAATGTAATTACCTGCAATTCAGAAACGGGTACAAAGAAAAAATCACAGCCACAATTGGAGAGAATTGTTCTGCAGCAAGTTGCAAAACGTAATACAAATCAATGGCAAACTATGGCAACAAGGATGAATGGAAAATCAACAAAAATCAATTTGCAATTATTTTACAATAAAGCCGATCCATTAAAATCAAGCCATTCACTTCCGCAACTGCAAAACATTGGTATTACTGCCACTTTTCAACAAATTGCTGACGATGGATGTGATTACAAAGTAGAAATCAATAAACGTACAGCAGCAATACCATTGCGAAAAACTATACGTAAAGCACGTCCATTATCAAGCGATAGCGGTTTTACTACTCCAAGTCCACCGAATGAAATTTCATCGTCAAATCAATCACAATGTCCGTCGAGTAATAGTGCGAATAATGCCAACGGAAATGGTCAAGTGGATAATTACAAAACAACGGAAGCATCGAATAACAATGGACGGAATGAATCAACAGTGTTGAATCATTGTGATAACATACAACAGCTGATTGAGGTGAGTAATGTAAAACCATCAGTGTGATATCTGATTAAAAATATTAAGCGAGGGTTGTGCTACACATGACTATTTAATTTATTTAATGAGAAAATAGATGAGCATAAAAAAAATTGTTTCATTATAGAATGAAAATTTAACTCATAAATCATTGTCGCAAATATTGTTATGAATGCATCCACACATTTACAATCACATTAATCCTGCATCAAGTTTTTTGTCTATGACAAATTTTTAACTATTCATGATTTTTAAATGGATTGAAAGTACGCAATTTTAGTAGGCAATGGCATATGTCTATGATGAGGGATTGTGCTGGTTAATTTATGGAAGGAGTGTGCTAAAAGGTATGTGTCTCAATAATGAAATTTGAAACTACAGGATGTTTATTTGGCTAAGACTCATAATTTATGACTCATTGTCTTTGTCATAAGGTTAGTTTAGATTCTAGTGATATGTAAATATTTCTGTGAATAGCTGAGTGACTGTGATCTGCTGGATTCCTTATCATTTCTAAAAAGACCAAGAAGTGACTTGAGAATGTGGGCTTGATTTATAAATATGACAAATTCAAATGTCAATCTGTTGTTGCATCTATAAAGTTTGATTGTTTTGAGTTTTTGACTCATTCCAACAGCTCACCGGTCACCAAAATAAAGCTTGTTACTCAACTAATTTTTCAAAACTTGGCTAAAAACTTAAAAGTGTTCATCACTTGATTGACCACAAAAGTTTAATATTCACAGCAATTCACAGAAGAATTAAAACTTGACACATCGTAAAAAGCAAAATAATTTAAATTGCAGCCTCGCCACTCTCTTAAATTATTCATCTGCATTTTTTTTCTGTAGATTATAAATAACACGATGGGATTTTGTGTTGTTATCGCAAAGTTTCCCATCCATAACGAAATATATTTTATGTAGTTTATGCAACGTGCGTCAAATAAACCAAATTTGTGTAATAAAAGTTCCTATTTTGAATGCCTGGGGTTTTATGGTTTTTGAGCAAATTTTTTTCATTTTATGATTTGTTCTAAAGGGTGCTGAAATTATTTATGGCACTTTTTTTACGTCTCGCTGAAACAAATTGGATTATTGTTTTCAACCTGAATTAAAGTTGCAACTGTTGTGTCTATTGTGGATTTTTTTGTAACATTTTCAACATGACAGAAGTGGCATTTTATGGAAAATTGAATTATTATTTTTCAACTGACTTCAAAGAACTTTCTTCATCCACTCATTCGCTTACACGCTGTGAAATGTCAATGGCTTTCCATGTCATAAATTGTCGAGGGAAAAATTTCTCCAAGGTTCTTTTCTATTACTTAATTTAAAACTTCATTTTTACACAAAAAGGAAATCATGGCAAATTTCTAGCATCGATTTAATAGAGAATGCTTTTCATTGTATGAGAAAGGAGTAAATCATGCAAATGATGGCAAAGGGTTTCCTTTTCTGTTTATTCAACTAAAAGATTTTTCAATTTTCCTTTGTCGTCTCTTGATATTAACATGATATTAAGGTATTCTTAGACTGAATAAATGACATTTGTTATTTAATACCACGACATTTTAAGTTTGAGGAATTTAGATAGAAGATTCGTCCTTTTTAATATCATTGTTGGAACTTGGGAGGGGCGTAGCCAAGAATTTAAAGAGGGGGGGGGGGGGGGGGGCAACAAATTTTTTTGCATGGAAAAATTTAAGGGAGGGGGGGGGGTGTAATTTTGTGATTTTTCCGATTTTTTCATAAGAACTCTAGCGAAATAAAGAAATTTCTGTTTACGTTGGGGGATTTGTCCCCCCCTCCCCCTGGCTACGCGCCTGGAACTTGGAAAAGGTTCTGGAAGTAAAAGAAACAAAATTAATTTGAATATTTCTCTTACTTTATTAAAATCACCCATATCAGCAGTTTTGTCTGAATTTTGATTCTAAAAGGTTCATTTATGTGTAGTTTGAGATTGGAATTTTGGCACTGAAATGGTACTGAAGGAATCAAGTTTTTATTACAAATTTCAATGTACAGTTTTGAATCATTTAAATTCTCTTTTGGATATTTTGAAAATTGAGGGTTCGTTCATAAATGACATCCAAAAAATATATTTCTAGACCTAGCTTTCATATGGAATCCTTATAGTGTTGATTGGGTTTAGATCTCTTGACATTGAATTACTTGATTCAGATTTTGAAATGGTCAGAATGTTCGATAGTCCTTACAATTTTTTAATATTTAACATTCCAACTTCATCATTGGAAGTGCCTCATGTGGTGAAATGGAAAAAGAGCTTCGAAAACTTGACTTGACCTGGGTTTGAACCCAGTACCTTAGGCACGTAAGTCCAACGCTCTCCCACCTAGGCCACTGATACCGGTTACCATTGGAAGTAAGATGTTCAAAAGTGTATACACTCAATATCTGAACGACCTCCTTAGTTCCAATATTTGTCCAAAATTGTCCTATGAATTAGAAAATGTAAATTACAGACATAATGTCAACAAGGATCCACTCATGATTTCAAAATTTGTAAACAAAATTAACATATAATAGACATAGCAATAGCTTATTTGTTATCATTTCTATAAAGTTATTGACTTGACCCAAAAATTCAGCATCTATCCAATAACTTAAAATCTCTCTATGATACAAAGGAATGAGATGTTATGTAAACTTAATTGAATATTTTTGCATCGTAAATATTGTCTGTATTTAAAATAAGAATAAAATAGAGACAGCACTCGATGTGGAGAAAAAGAAAGCTTAAATTCAATAAACTTCAAACTGTATACTGAAAAATGCTTTCACAATTATTGAAAAGAGAATAGAAAACTTTAACAAGTTCATTCATTGTGTTCATCTCAGTTCTGCTTATGAAATTCTTTTGCTATTAAACAACTTTATTTCTTTATTTCTGTGCTTCTATCCTTGCTGTTCACTGAATCCATATTTTTATTTTTAAAGATGAAAATATTGTTCGTATTATTTTTTATTCTTTTTTGAAATTTTCCTGTCTATAAAACTCATCCGAACATAGAGACAGAACAGCTCAGTATAGAAGTTTATATTTCTCTGAAGTATTTCTTTTTTGTTTTCTGTTGGAAGAATGAATAAGCTCCATACCATCAATGTATGCATAGTGTATAGCTATTTGTGCTATAAGCGAGTATGAAGGAACTTCCATGGAATCTATACGTTTATCCAATAAGCACAAGTGATGTTAGAAAATAACAATGCAAAGAAGCTTACGATATTGTTGTTGTTTTTAAAGTCTTTCAGTTGAATTTTTATGAGCATCAATTGCCAGTGTGTGTATATGTGTGGTTTAAGGATATACAAAAGGCAAATAAATGACACAAACTAGCTGTATTACTCGCATTTTAAAACATACGGAAATATGAAAATTATCCACACACTCAACCCGATAAATACATCAAATTTTATGAACTGAACTTCATGTGAAGCATGAAACACACTGTGGATATGCGATAGAAATAAGTGGCTTTAAAAAAATATTGTTGCGGCAAAAATATAGCAATTGCGTGGTTTATTTTTCCTCGATATATGCCGTAAGGTTTTTATTCCTCACCATTCCGTTCAATACGGTGTATGGATGTACATTGCAAGTTGCGTTAGCGATAAAAACAACAAATATGCGATTTTAGTCTTCAATCGATTGGATATAAAAAAAAAAATTTCATTCACAAACCTGTGGCAAAGGTGCAGGTAATTGACTCTTAATTGAAAATAATACAGAGGATGAGGCTTCACATTTGTGGCTTTTTCTTGCCTCCACTTTACGTCGTCATCGTCTCGACATTCAACCGTGGTAGCTTATTTATGAAGCACATTTTTACGTTCACAATAAATATTTTATGGCAATTTACTTTCAATGGAGAAAAAGGGAGTTCATGGTTATTACAGCTGGAAAATTTGCTCTTGCAATGTCATTATGATTTTGAGAATGTAGATATATAAAAATGCAATGAACCGTTCCAAACGACTTTCAATAATTCATTTCTTTCCTATACATTTCCTCCATTTCCGAGATTTCCTTTAAAGCATGCAAACCCAAGATGAAAAAAATCACTGACAGTTGACTTGAATGAAGTAAATTGACATGCACAGAGAAAGGAAATGTCAAATTCTTTAATTTATTGGATGAAGAATGTACATGAATAATTAATTAGTTCGGAAGAGCCATTTCTATTGTTGACTGTCTTTATATTCACGAAGGAAAATGGTAATTATGCATTTATTCCATTATGGAAATTCATAAATAAATAAAATGAGTCTGTTTATATTATTTACGATATTTTCGTCTTCTTCTTCCGTTTACTTTTTCGTGCATTTTTTTGCATGAAATATAAAGTTGTGAAATTGGTCGAAATGGCTGACTGGATGGATTCTTAAATTATAAGTTCGTGTGACAATATATGTTGAGATTCTAAGTTCTATGGTTTTATGACTACTATAATAAGTGATCTTAAGTAGTTTTATTTCTGGATGGATCTTCCCGAATGGCACAAATCGGTTAATCGAATTAAAATCTGGCACCAAGCTGGCATGACTCTGGCATGGTGCTAGTCTCAGGCATGACTCTGGTTTGGTGCTGGATTTCTGATCGATTAACCGACTTGTGCCACTCGGGCTTAAATGGTGATAAGCTTAATGGTGGATTTAAGAACATTTTGCTTAAGATTTTAGTCCCTTGCTTGATTTGAAGCATAATAATAAATTTAACAGCCAAAGCAATTGAACCATTCACAGGATCCCTAAAAGAGATACTAGTAAAAACTTAGAATAATCAGCCAGAAACTCTACTCAAAAGCGCATTTTGGTCATTTTACTGATTAAAACTTCTTACAAATTAAACTCAAACATTAAATTACGTTCTTCCGCCAATTCAATATGGAAAGTTCTCTCTAAATAGAAGAAAATAATAAAAAAATGTGTTGCAAACGATTGCAAGACGAAAATGCTTCTGTGCTCGAAGCATAAAAGTTATTAAGATTTATGTTTTTAAGTGAAAAAGGAAAAGTTTATTTGGAGTGGAAAAAAATTCCTTTTTAACGCCAGAACAATAAAAGAAATTGAAATAAAGTTGAAAAGTTTTATTGTCTGTGAAAATTGAAAATAATTTACAATAAAATTAAATTTTCACGAAATTTTCTTCCCATTTAATTTTCATTCACAGCCAAAAATAAAAATGAGGAATGGGATATGCTCGTTCTCTTTAATTATGACAATGTTGAATAATTAATTTTGATACATGAGAGTTGAAGTTCATACATGGAAGTTTGTAAGGCAAATATTTGCATTTCAAATGGAAATATGCTCACATAATAATAATGAAATATATGAAATTGTTTTTCTCTTTTTTCTCCCACCACCTCCTTCACACATCCATTTGAGTATGCACGTCATAAATCCCTTTTTCACATCCACACACACACACACAAATAGGATAATTTCAGTATGCATATGGAAAAAAATTTATAATGCTGTAAATGAAGAAGAAAAAAAATGAAATTTGCATAATTTTTAAAAAAGATTTTGTTCCTTCCTATTTGACATTGTAGCATGTGATGAACAAAATATTATTATGAAGACACGACATCTGCGTTGTGTGACTTAAAAAGAAAATTTAATAAAAGAAACATGCCGAAGACAAAATTGAAAAGCTCATATAATAAATGACTGCATCGTCTGTCATACTTCTGATATGTCTCAGGCTTCATTATATTTTGTGTGATGAAAATAATCTTAAGCCTTTGCTAAAGAGAGCTTCTTGAGTGTTTACTCAATGGAAGTTCCTGACATGTCTATTAAGATGTTGAAGCATGTTTTGTATCAAAAATCAAGTTATAAATTTAATTTTATATCGTTCCTTAATTTATTTACTATAAATGAGATAACTTCAGAAAGAGCTCGAAGTCGACTCGAGTTTACTCGAACCCTATCGACTTCGAGGATTGATATCAGATGACAAAAATTACTGAACAAACTTTAATGCTATAAATGCAAACAAAAAATTCATTAAAGTATTTCCAAATATGATTGAGGATGAGTCAGGTGTGGTTATTTCTGCAATAAACGTTGCTTCGTCAGGATATGTTGATAAGTAATCATCAAGCCATAACAGATGATTCGCAACTCTTTGAAATCCTACTGGATAACTCTGCGTGCATCCATATTTGGATCCAAAACTTGTCAGTCCAACAACTATCTTGCGACCAGGAGTGATTTCAAGAGTTAGAGGACCTCCTAAAATATTTTATGATTTATTAAATTTGACTCATTACAACTTATCAGTTTTATACTAAGTTTGATTCATGATTGCTCATAATTTAATAATGTCCAAAGTACTGAATCATGCTGATTAATAAAACTCACCAGAATCACCCTGACAAGGCGAAGCTCGAAGATTAGTAGCTGTACATAAGTTTGACGACACAATATATGCTGGAAAAGTAGCATAACATTCTTCATTTGAAATAATCTGCAACTTTGCATACTTTAAAACTTTTGATGCCACTCCATTTTCTGTCAAACCGAATCCACTTAAAATTGATTCCTTTCCAATAAGATCTTGAGCTCCTTCATCGAATGATGGAATTTCTATTACATCTATATGCTCGTGTAGAAGTAAATCTTCTTGTGCATCTTGCAGGAATATTAATCCAATATCATTCTTCAGGAATTTAACTTCAAAATTTGGATGAACAATCAAATTTTTGGAATCTGTGATTGGTTCACTACGCCATGCTGCTGGTCCATCAATTCTATTTACAACACCCAAAAACACTTCAATCTTTGAGAACCCTTCAATGCAGTGTGCAGCCTACAATAAAATTTCATCAACTTATGGAAACTATTGCAACTAAATGATGACTCACTGTAAGAACCCAATTGTGCTTAACTAGAACTCCACCGCAAACATATCTGCCTGCATCGTCACTCATATATAATAAGGCATGATAAGGAAATTGTCCAATAATTGCTTTTTCACCACCTGCAATTCTTCCACCTCTTGGAATTTGAGGAATTTCCTGATCTTTAAAGAAATGTTCCAGCGTTTCTTTATAATAATCTGACTCAATTGCATCTTTTACATCATGATATTCTTCAGGAATTGTAAATTGGCACTTAATTTGTAAACAACAATTTAAAAACGCAATTAAAACTAAAACTGACTTCATTATTAGAGTTTAAAGCTACGACTAGTACAAAAATTTTCAATAAAATGAAATTCTTATCGCATTTTACAAGTGCTTTATCGATATCTGATACTTTTGCGAGTAGTTGTGTGATAACATGAATCAATTACTTCAAAATTTTGCGGGAAACCTCCGCAGTCTATTAGTGACTCATAATCATATCCGTTGTTTTCTTTTATTGCTGATAAGAAATTGCATAAAATGATAAAAAGTTTATTGTGATTGATAAGAATTTATTAAGTTTATTGTACTTTTTATGATCAGGGGTCTTAATTTGGGGGTCTTACTATAAGAGTCTTACTAAAAGAGTTAAGTCAATTTTAGACTTAAACAAACTCGACATTTAAATTTTAAATTTTCTGGCTTCAGCTGCGGCAAATGCTCAATTCCTTGAAATTTTAAAAGAATTTATGCAAATGACCTAAAACAAAAATTGTTCATTAAGTAAGCCTCATAAAACCTTTTCAATAATGACAAAATTATGTAAAAATTCAAAGAAAAACAAAGAAACATTTCTGCATCCACAGTTTCATAGCTTTAAGGCGGAATCATTTTAAATGGAAAATGTTATCAATTTTCATTATCCAATTTTAAAGCATCAATGTGTATAAATTCAGACTTTATCAAACACTTGAGGATAGGAACAGCAAAAGGACAAATGTAATCAATGTTATCAAGCTAGAATCGTTCAGAAGCAAAAAAAGGAAGTCAGCAGTTTAACATTCTATTTTTTCATCTGTTCAAAACTTTTGTTTTTCGATTCTTTTTGGACTGTTTGAGTTTGAAAGAATTTTAATCAATGTTCAAATTGAAAAAAAAAGCATTGATTTCATTCCATTCATTTTAAAACTCAAATGTATGAATGAGTGGATAAATGAATGGGAATTTAAAACAATATGAAAAAAGGGAGAGAAATGAAAAGTTTTTAATTTGAAATTGTCCCATGCCGCATTGTTTTAGCGACAACGAAGCATTGAATATGAAAATGTTTAAAGAGTGAGAGATTTTTTGAACATAACTACTTGAGTACAATAGGCAATAGAAAGGCGAAAAAAGGAATAAAGAATTTTTCAAGTTCTTTTGAAAGCGAAAGCTCATTAAAAAAGTTTTATTTTTCTGCTTTAGAGATTTAGAGCAATAAATTTAAAACTTTAGTGGGGAGTCATTTATGAATGACGTCTAATATTTAAAGGCCAAATGAATCATTGCTAGTGTTGCATTATCAGCGTGTAATTTGAGCTAATTTGTATCAATCTATTCACTTTTAAATGTTTTTTACTTTAGGTACATGGAAATCGAGGACCCACGGTGGTTAGAACCACTTGTGGACTCAAGACTCCTTCACAAAATGTTGGCCATTTGGTTTTAAGTACCACTGTTCATATGCTCAATGACTGAACAATTTTTAACAGTAGCATAAAGTTGTAGCTCCCTTAAAAATTCAATTCTTAGCTGACGTCATTAATGAACGAACCAAATCTATATTTTTGTGTTAGAAAAGAGCAAAAAATATAAACTTTTTCCTCAATTACTAGGTAAATTTAAATTCTAGATTAAGAATTGAGCAGCACAAACTAAACTATATAATAACAATAATTTTCATGTTGTTATTTCATACAGAGGAAAAGTTATTTGAATTGCTTCGCCGCCCATCACATAATCATTATTCAAATTAGAAAAGTTTTGCTTTTTTTGAAAAGAAGGAACTTTGTGATCGTTGTCGTTTCCATTGTACAATTTTCATTTCCTTTACTTTTTCCTCTCTCTCTTACATTTCAATTGTTATCACATTTGGTTTCAGCAGTAATCCAATTATGGAGAGAATATAAAGGGAATAAGCGTGCTTCATGTTATAGCCACTCCGTTTATTCGATGTATGCTAGAAATTCGAGCTGAAAGGGGTCGTTCACTTATAACGTCTAACATTTAGGGAGGGAGGGGGTCAAAAAATTTCTGACACATTGTGACAGGGGATGGAAGGGGGCCAGGAAATTTGTGACATCCAAGTTTTTAATCAGGAAATTATAATTTTTTGTGTCTTGGATTGGACGTCACAAGGGGGGGGGGGGGGTCACATCTATGACAGGGGGTTTAAAATTAGGTTTTTGATGGACACCATAAGTGAACGACCCCTAATAAGAATTTTAATTTCTTATTGACATCATTTGCTGTCCTGACATTATCTTTATAATTTTCATGATTTTAGTATAACTTCCAAGGCAGTAAATACTTCAGTCAACAAACCCTTAACGGAGAGACTATAAAACAAAATTATTTCAATTAAATTACCTTTATTTTTCAATTCAACCATGCCGTGATTCCACATTTACAAAAATTTATATTCACAAAAAAAAAGATTTGTACTCATGCAGTTCGCTTAATATCTTCTTTTGCCATTGACTGTAGACAATTTATATTAACAAACACAGAAGGGTGGCATGTAGAATAGGAAGAAAAAATATTGTTGAATCCAAAAGGGAAGCTTTGTTATTAAAATTTATAAATAATAATTTGCTATTCATAAAATCATTTGTTTTGTAATTAACTTAGCCAAAATACTTTATAATTCTTAAAATGCCGTGGGGTGGAACTAAACTGAAACCATAAAATTTCCACATAACTTGACACCTTTCTGCATACGATATCTCAAGATTAGCTAATTTGCAGTGTATATAGTTATTGTAAAATGCCGTCAAAACTTAGTTTCAGCCTAGAATTCAGTTTAGACACAACTTTACTTCCATGAAAATTGAGACAAAACAAAGAGTTTCAGTCACCACTCCTTTGCTGCAAGCTATTACCCTTTTCATTATATTCATGATTTTATAACAATAATGAAGAATAAATTGAGAACAGTAGGAAGACGACGAAAATAAGGAAGCCAAGTGGAGCAAAAAATGAAAGAAAAAAAGTTATTTTTTTAGAACATGGAGAAAGCTACACGGCAGAAAACTTGTTAAGAGCCGGGTGCAAATGAACAATTTTTTTTCTCTTGTTGCTTGAATTTATTCGAAAGCGAATCCCGAAGACTTTTAATTAACATTTACGGTATGTGCCTCAAGGATGAAATCTTCTCCTTTAATTTTTTTTCTGTGAGTGAGAAAATAACAATTTTGTGAACATATTTAAAGGAAAATTTGTTTTTAAAAGGCTTTCATTGCCGTCAGTAAAATAGGAATGAAATTTGATGAAGGATTTTCTCTTGCGTAACTTGATTCGTTCTAGAACATAAGTAGAAATAAGCATAAGGCGTCTTGGAAGTAAATAATTTATTTGATCCTGTCTGACTTACACATTTGCCTTCTTTACATTTTCATCTTAAATTTTTTCGTCTATCATTTATTTTACATTTACTGTGCATGCATACATAGGCGTACGGAAAAAAGGTAATAATCAGCTCTTTAAGTACATTTTTCCATTTTTTTTTCCTCTCACCATAAGTCGCTTTGCTGATATAATTTATTGTTCTATGCATAAGAATTTCACATTCCGTAAACATAATTTTTATGTCTTCTATGCTGTACATCATGAAATATTCTATTTCCATTTTTAGAAACATTTTTTCTTTTATTTTGAAGTTCAAAAGCCCAAAGAGAGAAAAAGAAATGTCTGATGCAGTCGTACGTAAACTAAAACATAACAAAGCGTGGCATTTTCATGAATTAAATTCTTTAACTTGATGTGTTTTTGTGTTTTCTTCTATCTCGTGCGTTTTTCTGTTTGGACTCTATTACCTTTATCTTGTCTACTTGTATGTTTAAATTATTGATTCGTTAAGATTGTCGTAGAACCTCATTTTTTGTACCTGCTTTAGTGGTTTAAACTTCTTTGTGGGCTTCAATAAGATTTTCAAGTTAAATCATTAACGCAAAATCCAGACACTTTGCCGCTGAATTATTCAACCACTAGGGCTCAAACAATAGCTGTGACACACGAACCAAACTGCAAAAATATTCCAGTCACCCTTAAAAGAATTTAAAAAGTATTCAAAAACTTAAAAACTTTTAATTCCCTGATTTTCACAGCCAACCCCAACAGTCATTTCCATGCATAAACAAATGTAATGATGACGAAAAGTGTGAGATAAAGAAAATCTTTCTGACTATAAAAAAAAGTGAGACAAGAAAATGTTTTACTCTCGTTCTCTTGATTCTGTGAAAATTCTATATGCTCAGACATGTGGTGGAATATAGTCAAATAGTAAAATAAAGAAATTTAATACATACTATAGAACTGAGTATCTACTGAAAATGAGAAATAAATGAAAATTACTCTGTGGCTTTTAGTCGTTTATTTGCGGTTAATCCATTTACACGACAGAGCAGTCGCGAGCAAATTAATGCCAAATTTCCTTCCAAACAAATTTGTGGTTTTGAATTTTTTTATTCCACCGAGTGTTCTTAAATTACTTTATTGAATAATTGCGTGTTTTATTTATCGTGTCAACCGCTTTAATTTCTTTCGTGATTTAGCAAATTCATTCGTTTATGTCGCACGTGATCCATAAACTGTTTAGAGTATAACAATACGGAGTAAAGTGAAAGAAGAGGATTAATTGTTTGAAACATTTATGTAAATTGTTTACACAATTGAATGCTATTAATTAAATTTAAATCAAAATATTTAGCAGTGATTATGAAAATATTTACATGTAACATTGATTTACGTGTGTTCTAGTGCTGCATATTATGATGGAATTATAAAAATACTCGATGTAAAAATAAACGTTTCCTGCGAGAAAACTGTAATTACACATTGCAGTAGGAAATAAATCTTATTGGAATATTTATGGTGCAAGGACAAATTTGTGTAAATTTCTCATTTTTCTTTGGGGGTCATTCACTTATGACGTCCATCAGAAAACCTCATTTTTAGACCCCCTCCCCATCCTCTGTCACAAAAAATATATAATATAGAAAAAAATTTCCATTGATAGAACTGTCATAAAATCCTAGACCCCCCCCCCTAAATGTCGGACGTCATAAGTGAATTGCCCCTTGGGGAC